CCGGTGGCCGCTCGCTCCCTTCTCCCTCACTCTTTCTCTCTTCTCTCTCCCTGAGCCTGCCGTCTCTTCGACCCGCCGCCCCACCGCGCCCTCTCCGCTCTAGGCGCGCCCGCCCCACCCACCGCGGCCTCTTCCGCCATGCCCGCTTCCGTCGCTGCGGCCCTCGCGCCCTCTCCGCCTCTTGGCCGCCGGCCCTTCTCTGTCGGCCGCGACGCAGCGCCGCGACGCGCAGTGCACTCGCCGCGCCCGTGCCCGCGCCGCACCCGCTTCGCTCGCCCGCCCGCCCCCCGAAAATATAGTGCACTTCCCAGAATAGTCACACGGCGCCTTTGTCTGCGACCTGGCGGAAACGGTGATGTGGCGCATGGCCCGTGCACAGAGAAGAGGAAAGGGAGGATGCGAAAAAAACCGCCCCCTCTCTACGAGCAACGGGCGTGTTTAGCAAAGCAGGCCACCGCTTGCCCCTGCTGTTGCGTCTGTTGCGTTTTCCAAAGTTGCGCTGTCTCCGCAGCTGGCAAAGGAACAACGTATCGCTTACTGTGGCTCTCTGAACTTGACCCCGTTACCTACAGAAATTACCAGACTGTAATAGTATAGTACGTATCCATTTTAGCGTACTGTATCATAAACCCGCCACGCAAATCCTTTTGCCTTCCCTCTCCTCTCCATCCATCCATTCACTCACTCGCTCGCTGCCGCCTCCCACCGCGCGCCGCCTCCCAGCCGAGCAGCGCACAATCCCACTGAAGTACTTTGTTATAAAGTAAAGCACGTGGTTTAGTAGTGGCGCCTGCGCGCCGCCGCCCGAACATTACTTAAGGAAATGCACTTCCCGGCGCGGCGGGCGCGGCTGCACAAGTGCTCGCCTAACGCACGACAGTGCGTCGAAACGCTTGCGCGTAGAGCCGCCAAAACCGCCGCGAATGAAAACAGAAACAGCAGGATTTGCGAAGGGGGGCGATCTCGCATCTCTTCAAAAAAACGTGAGATGGACGGAATGAATGAACGTATGAAGACATTTAAGACTCGAAAAAAAAAAAAAAAAAAAAAAGACCGGAAAGAGAGCGAAACGGGATGAAGAACGAAGCTGAGCCCAAAAGATCTGTTTGCAGGATACACGGTCTGCACGGTTGCGCCTTTCTATTTTTTTTATTCGACAGCAAAGGTGCGCGAACGCAAAAAGAGGGAGAAACCTATAAATTGTACGAAAGGCGTTTAAAAGTGTAGCTGGAGTAGAAAAACAGTTGAGCACTGCAAAGTTCAAGCCCCATAGGTAATTCCTCGGACTTCGGTGAGCCAATAGCGGTGGCAGGCAGGCGGTGCGAGCGAGGCGCGGCGCGGCGGTTGTCGCGCACGGCCCGCGCGGCGGCGGCGGCGGCGGCGGCGGCGGCGGCGGCCGCCGACGCGGGCGGTGCGGCCAGCTGCCGCCGCGGGGCCGTGCCGCCGCTCCGCCCCGCGGCCGCCGCGTCCGTCCGTCCCTCTCAACGCCAGCCCTCTCCTCTCCCCAACCACACGTTGCTTTAGTTAACGGGCCCGTCCACCGCACCGATCTCCCTTCCGCCGCGCCCGCCGCCGCCACGCCTTGGCCGGCCTCCCCCGCCAAACCGCGACCTTCTCGCGGTTTCGTCCCCACTGGCCGCCGCCGCCGCTCCACCTGCAGCGGGCGGGCGCGCGCGCGGCGCGCGGGCGCGGCAGGCGCGGGCAGTGAGTGTCCACCCAACCCAACCCAGGGTCTGGCCGCCAGAGCCGTGCGACCCGCGCTGGCAACGAACACGCACATCACAACAGGCTAGGGCAGGCTGCGCGGAGGCGGCAAGCGGCAGCAGCGGAGGCGGAGGCGGCTTGCTGGTGTGGGCACGGGGTTATTGATCGACACAAAGGACCTCTTCCCTTTCCTTCCGCTTGTCTTTTCGTCCGGCTAAGCAGTGTCCGAACTGACCGTCATCATGAAGTGGACCGTCGACGCGAACAGTGCGCAGTGAATCCGACGACTGACTCGCCGAGTGCTTTTCTTTTCGTGTGTCATCGCGTTTGCACACGAGACAGAGACAGAAGTTTCCGAAGCGATTGCGCGTCGACTGCGCTGACGACGACGACGTCGCGCGCACTTTCGCGCAACTCGAGCGCTCGGAAACTTTTCGACTTTTGTTTTCGCCGCCGGCGCGCTCTATCTACAAGTTTTTAATAACTTGCTCTATACATTACGAGTGAAAGTGTGTGTGGTAAAAAGTGTTGTGATTGGTCGTCGTTGCGCGCCAATACGATATCGTGGGTGGAGCTATCGAATTATTCGCAGCCTTTTTGAATCGACTGTAGACGAGAGTCCGCGTGTAGAGTGACTGTTTTTGCAGACCGCGCGTGCCCGCGCGAGCGCGCGTGTGCGTGCGAGCGCGCGTGCGGCGTCGGCCCGTGCGCGCCCGTTCGCCGGTGCATGGCCGCGGAGACCATGCTGCCTGCCAAGCGACCCATCCGGCAGTTGTCGGTGCACGAAAAACTGGAGGCGATTCGGCGCGTGCATAGCGGCGAGTCCAAGGCGTCGGTGGCCAGGGACATCGGCGTGCCAGAGTCCACGCTGCGTGGCTGGTGCAAGAGCGAGGACAAGCTGCGCAACGTGGCCCGTTCGTGCGGCTCGCCCGAGTCGCAGCAGTCCGACGGCGAGAAAGACCTCAGCGTGGACCTGGATAACAGCGGGCCCTCCGACCTGAAGCGGCTGCGGATGGGGCTGGACGAGGGCAGCCCCAACACGGTGCTGGCGCACCAGCAGCCCGCGTCGGCCGCCGTGGCGCCGGCGTTCGCGGCGGCCCACACGCCGCGCTCTACCGCGCACCCGGAGCTGGACGAGGCCCTTTGGTACTGGCTCAAGCAGCAACAGCAGCAGGTGGCCGGGTTGCCGGCGGCGGCGGCGGTGGCGGCCACGCAGCTGCTGGACCCCGCGGCCGCCGTGGCCGCCGCCGTCACCGGCGACAAGGACAGCAACGGGAACGGCGACGGCACCGGCTGGTTCTGGCGCTGGTATAAGCGCTACGGTTTCACGCAGTATCCGGACCCCTTGGCCGACAAGGTTGGCACCGACCTGTCCGCCGGCGGGTTGCAAAAGGTGAACGGGTACGCGAGCGGCGGCCTGGCCTCCAGTAAGGTGCGGTCCACGCTCGACAGTGTGTTGCTGAATGCGAAGGACAATAACAACGTGAGCCCCTTGGCCGCTACCAACAACAATTACAAAAAGTTGGATGAGTCGGACGACGACGAGGACGACGAGCCACCTGCGACGGCGGCGGAGGCGGTGACGCACGGGGAGAAGTTCCTGCGCTGGCTGGAGTGCTGCTCCGACCCCAGCGTCACCGCCTGCCAGATCCTGCAGTTTAGGTACCTCCTCAACAATGTGAGGGCGTGTGCCGACCGCCGGGCCAACAAAATCAAGACCAAGACGAGGTCCCGCCGCAAGTAGACGGGTCTCGGCCCCTCCTCCCTTCGCTCCCCATGTACTTGTATACCATTTGTTACCAAACAATCTAATGTAAGTAGTGTTTAAAGTCAAGTGTTTCATGCAGGTTGTAATCAAGCTTTAAACATATTCCATTTGAATCTTGTTTTGTACTGTACATTTTGTTTATACATTATAGATTGTGATCAGTGCTTCTGTTGATAGAATGTTCTGTGTTGGAAAGACACAGCTTCTGTTAAATTGAAACTATAAACATTCAATAGACATGTTTGAGAGAAGACAGAGTGAAAGAAGCTTATGTCAGTGCTAATGTAATAGTCACTACAATAGAGGCTATTGTTTATTTTTGATAAGCAGATGCTAGCACTTACAAACCGAGTTGGCTTGTGCAATGGCACGTAGACCAGGTGATCTGCAACAAAGTGTGCGCAGCCTTCCCAATTTGAAAGCTCGGGGTAGGGCAGTCTTGTTGGACGAATCGTGGTGCATACCATTTTCTTCAGAACAAAACAAAGTTATTACAGAATGTTATTATATTTATTATGTTACTTTAATGTATTGCAAATTATGCATTGATTAAAATTAAGAATGTTACGTTATGAGACATTCATATTTATGCTTCATCTTTGCTTGTATCATTCTCTTAAAGTGTACAAGACTAGATGATTTGTCATGTTGTACTGATCATGTAGAAGCTTTAGTATGTTATACGAGTCAGAATGTGTTACATTTCTACATTTATTTCAACATAATATTTAAAAACACTTGTAATTTTAAGAATATGTTCATATTGATCTCAGGGGTGATAACATGCGTTTGTCATTTGCAGTTTATTTTCTAGTTTAAATGTCTTTGTGGTGTTGACACGGAGACTGAACAGTGTTCTGAAGAGACAGTCACTTGCTTCATTTTTTGTCTTCAAAATGAGATGTACTTTAAGGGGCATTTAAGAGAAATATAACCTGCAATGAATGCTGCACTTAAAAATTAATAATTCAATTTGTGTTTTTGATGCTTAAGCACAAGTTTGATAGTGCAATAAGGAATGTGATAATATTGATTAAACATTACATCACTGACATGTCATTCTTTACTTTTGAAGTCTGATTAGTGATAATGTTCAGTTCTTTCTTTAGTCATAAAAACTAGTAAATGGATATAAAATTATAATTGTCATTATTTTATTTTATTGCAATTGTTTGAAGTTCGTGTTTCCTAAGTATTATTTTTTTCAGTATTGAAAATGCTTCAATCTTTGATGTTCTGGAAACTTTCCTTACACCATATTTAAATATGCATATCTGACATTTTCTTTATTATTAGGTTTATCAAGATATTTCTGATCTGAAAGAGTTATGGATTAGAAATAGTTTGATGCTGACTGATGTATGTTATTTCTGTAGTTTATTTTGTTTTAAGTCATGACCTATGCATTAGTCACTTAAAACTGAGCTTGTTCAGCATTGTTTCAAATTAATTTTTCAACTGATCAATGTATGCCATGCAAATGAATCAGGTGCCAGCCCAAAAACAAGTAAACAAAGTAGATGAGCTTCCTAGTTGTCTTTAATGACAAAGATATATTATGTCTTGGAAGTGTAAAAGTGAATAATTGATATTCATGAAAGTTCATATTTATAATTTCATACATTGAAACAAGTGTGGAGATTTGCAGTTTATATTTTCTACTGAAGTGTACAAATATTCCACTTTCTCTTGTGTAGTCTGGCTTTTATTAGCATATTGTAAAAAAAATTCAGTATGTCAGTTTTAATATGTATGCAACACCTTAGACTTATTTTGTAAAATAAAACAAATGAGAAGTGAAAGAGTTGAATATTTGTTTTACCTGTAATCCACATTCATTATCAGCTGCTAACAAAAGAGGTTTTCGATCAGGGAATATAAAATGAAACTGTTGTCTGAAATTTTCAGCATACAGCAATATAAGTTTTTCTTTGCTGTTATTCTCATAGTAGGAAGGCGGGAATTTTTTTGCACTGTAATCAAAGTAAAATTATTAAGGGTTGATAGTTTGCAGATATAGCAGCTCAAATAATTCTTCCACTTACTCCTCGGGAGCCTGCAGGGGCCAACATAAATGAATAAGACCCAATTCATTAGCAATATTTTTTAATAGTTTCGGTGTTATTTTGCGTGGGCCAGTTTCCTGGCTATCATCGTCGTCTTCTGGGTCCTCAAAGATTTCGGCCCCCGATTTGGGGGTATCGAAGTCAAACAGCTCGAAGATGTCGTCTTTTTCTAGAACTGTACCCGATTGCCTATCGTCTGGTTTCTCATCTTCGAGAATGCTTTTTTTCAGTGTTTCGTTATCAGTCGAACTAGGTTTGTCAGGGTCTTCAGTTATTTGTTCAGCATTCTGTTCTTCCTCCGCCATTGCTGCAGAGTACTTAATACTTAAAAGTTAAGTTGCTGCTACACCTCATCCCGAATTCTATTTTCAAGATCAACTTGCACGTCTTTTCATTACATTCAAATGTAACGCAACTGGCATACAGCTTTGTGTATTTATTTACTATTGACCACTACTACCAATATTTAAAACCACTGGTCTAAGAAATCCAGACACATATCCAGGGTAAGGGAAGAATCGGGAGTTAAAATTCAGTAGAATATGATGTCTAGAGAGTAGATTATTATTTTATCGACAAATTTTGGATCAATGGTTGCGTTTTACAACAATTAAAAAATTATATTCTATGCATTACGTTGGTATCAACATTCGTATCTCATGACTGTTTTTACAATATTAGGTGGGGGGCACTATCTAGCGGCGAAATTTCTAACCAAATGTAAAATCAATGCCAATCGAAACGTAGAAACACATGAATGTTTCTGCGAATTTTAAGTGACGGAAAGAGGCGATTCAGACGTTGGGTTACCATAATTTCGCAGTATTAAAGCAAATCATAGTATCCCATTCACATATCGCTATTTGTAATTTCTTAACACAACGAAAATCAATAACTACACCTACCCAACCGTGTTTAACAGTTTCTCTTCAGATGTTAGAATTAGTAAATTTAATTACTATTTTGACGTAAAAATACAATTGATTTGATAAAACAGTAAAGGGTAAGATGGGTTAAAATAGACTATAAACCACAAACACAAAACAAAATAAATAAAACATTTTATTTATAAGAATCTTTTACCCAAATGTACATATTTATAGTTATAGTCACCTAAATGCACTGTATGATTCTGTTTAAAGCCCAGTCCAAACCGCACATTTATAAAACAAGAATGCAAAAGAATGTGCTCAAATGTACTGATAACTAGAGTTCTAACTGAAAACATTTACATACACTTCAAAAAACAAATATCAGCAGCAATCTTGCATTCATTTATATTATCTTTGCCTAAATATTTCATCTTATGACAAAGGATTATGTAAAAATACAATTCATTTTTATATCCATAAAAGACTAGAACAAGACTGCAATAAAGCTCCACAAATTCTGAAGTACAGAAAATAATCATTGCATTAGCAATGCAATTACACCAAATATGTAAAGCATTATATAAAGAAATTTAAAATGGTACATCTAAATGGAAATTTAAAAAACAACCAACTCAGACAAGGCATGTGAGATGTGTAACAATAAATTTAAAAAAATTCCATTACCTAATATATGAATTGCGCTCAATTATTCCCACACATGATAAATACAAATAATTGAAATATATTCTATTTATCATGGATTTAAAATTACTCTGGTTGGTAAATTCCATATTTTAAGATACAACATTCTTTACCATGAATTTAAAATAACATACAACTCATGATTTCTTTTAGCTATCATTTATGCAAATAACACACATTATCTCATATTTTCTTTAAATTTTTGATGTGTATTTTGTGTAATCATACTTGAGAATTAAATACAATAAAAAAGAGACAAAGAAGTACTGGATTTGTGTTCCAAGATGCTTTCATCATACAATATCAACAAATGAAAAGTAAAAGTAAATTAATATGACATTTTTGAACATTAAATAAAATAAAATCTCAGTGAAAAATAGACAACTTTCAATGTGGTTTTAAGTACTTAAAATACTGTTTTGCTTTCTCTTATTCTGATAATACTCAAATAAGACACTTCAAGTCTTGAACACTTACACTCTAATTTAATAATTGCAAAAATAACTGCAAGAGTAGAAATCACTATCATATTCTTTTCCTGAATGTAATTATGTTTGAGTATTTCACATTTTAAGGATAAATCAACAAACTTGGAGGGAAAGTTAAATAATACTATCCTACATCAGATGATGAAAAGTTCACCCATCAGATGCACTAACAGTGTGCTCAGGAGATGGTGTATGCACAGGGAACATGAGCATCTTGGTTCGGAGAAAAGAGAGATCTGGAAGAGAGTCTAAGACCTTTATGGCTTCAGGGCTGAGTCCATCTCGACGCTGAACACTGGCCAGGGGCACAGACTGGCTGGCTGCTAAGATCCGTTGCACAAGTTGGTCAGTTTGTGTAGTGGGCTGAGTTGCTCCTGGTGTGGATTCTTCATTTTGGGGCTGGAGCTCTTTTTCCAAGCCTTCCATGAGAACAACAGTATCATCTGAATTAACTGAACATATTTTTTTAATATCTTATGATGGATGTACACACACACAACCACACACACACACACAAAAGAAAAGTAAAATAGAGAAAGAAACTTCACAAAAATTAATAAAATAATACAAACCTCTTATGTCACTGTAAACAATCTATACATTTTCAATGGCGCAGCAATGCTCTTCATTGAGCTTATTTTTTACAATCATGCATTTAAAATATAGTCCACAAAGAGGAAAGAAGAAATGAGAAAACTGATAAGTAAATTTTAAATAAGAAAATCCTGAGATCACTCATTAAAAATCATTTGTTACACATTCTCGTAAGTTCTTCGCTGCAAGTCCTTCATTATTAAATTTTTTGAGAATATAAATTGATACATTTGTATCAAACAATGTCAATAAATATTTCATGGATTCATTTAATAATATAAATATTATTCTATTCAATTTCCATTTATGAATGTAAGCAAAAATTCTGTTAACTAAAAGCCTAATACATCTAATAACAAATACAGCTCAAATACAAGAAAAAAGTAAATGACATTAGAAGCAGTCAACAGTATACATACATTTTAGTCACATCTGAAACTTATTTTCCCCTACGACTAATTTATTCTTTGTTTTTGAAGAAATAAGCATTTTAAGCAAAACCACTAATGGTGTGATTAGTATACTAATAAGGTTCTACGGACTCCTGCATCGATAAGATAGTTTTCATAGAGAAATTATATGGTTAATAAAAGCTTTTTTCAGCAGAATGCTTTTCTAGTGTCTTTGTGCATGTAATTCTTAGAATTACTAAAGAAGCAACACTATATCCACATTATTGTATTAGAAAGCTTAACATTTTTCTACTTTTATTCTGAGATCTGCTGAACCCTGGAAAACTTGCAGCACAAGATCTCAGAGACACTATAGCTTCTGGAAGTTGTATGAGCAAGTACTTATGTAACTTGAATATTTATTATGGCTTATGCAAAGGTAAGCAAACATATTTTTTAAATAATGGGTTGCATGATCCAGAGTGAGACGAGCGGGAGGCACGATGCAGCGGGGGATAGGCCAAATGGTGTCTAGGGGAAGCACAACGAGCAACGCTCACAGGCAGCCTGCTTTGATTACTCACTGGCGAGTTCCCAGGCAGCGACGGAAGAAGAGGAGGAGGCAAAGTTATCAAACGTGTTGAGATAATCCAAGTCGAGTAGGGCAGATTGAGTGCCTGCATGTCAATGCAACACCATCACCACACCACCACCCACCACAAAGTTAGATCCAAACCCAAGGAAATATCCAAAGAGAAAAAAAGAAGAGAAACAATGGTGCTATTAGTGCAATAGAAACTCGTCATATCAGAACATTTTTAAGGATTTTTTAACTGCTCAGAAGCAAGTATACGTAGCTAATTTCCTAAAGCCAAGGGCAAGAGTTGTAAAACATTCATTACTGAAGGAATTCTTTTCCGAGAGTGCATAAAATTCAAATACATCAAAAATTAAAATACTGCACAAAACCCTAAGATTATTTTTTCAGGGCAGAATAAGTTTACAAAGTCACAGGGAGATAGAGAAATTTTGTTTTTCCTTAAAAAATGCTCTGATGAACGTATATACAATGAAAGTTACAAAAAAGCACCATTTTAAAGCACAAACTGAAATAACACATTATTTTATAATCTTCTAGCAAGTTTTCAATAATGTAGGATATTGAAAATAAGTTATTCTTCAACTGACAGTCTTTCTCATTCTGAAATGACAGCCTACCATTAACCTACAAGCAGGCTGCACCCAAAATTTGGAACACACACAAGAACAAGAAGTGGGTGAACCAACATTCTATGCTTAAGTTATTTATCATCTATCAAAGAGACAACATGATTTCATTGACATATTTGTTTTTAAAGTTATTAAAAAATAGGTAACCAACAAGAAGTTAAACATAAAAACATGCAATAAAATGAAATAACTTGTGGAGGAAAAGTGAATTTGCTGATTTGGTCTTTTCTTTCACTTTCAATAACGAGAAGTTGTATAATCATCTGTTTTTAAAAACTTGGTCAACCACAACCTTACTCAACATGTGCAAAAGACCTACTTTGCACAATGTTACAAATGCAGAATTTTTTGTAGACAAACTTTTTAAGAATACAATTCATTTGAAATATGACAGTCCTAAAATACCTAAAAAATTTCATTAATTAATAGTGATGCTGAATGTTCTTTCTCACACAACAATATCTCTAAAATTTTCTAGCTTATTCTCTATGTTTTTATAAAAGTTATGTATATATAGCTAAAGAAACTTGTGTTGTTTAAAAACGATAAATTAAAGAGTTCATCTATGATTAATCGAAAATTCCCTAGAGGAAGCTGAGTTTGGTAATCCAAAGTAGAATTGGATAAATTATATAATCTAATCACAATAAAGTTTTAACAATGTATTAAATCATTAAATTTCCAAACATGTTTTGAGACATTTTTTCCATCATGAGTGGTATTACAAAATATGTTATCAGGAAAATGTACAATATTATAAGTAAGAAAACATAAAACGACTTGAAAAACGAAGTAAATTTGCAGAGTTCATACTCAAATAGTATTACAATGTACATATCACTTGACAATAGGTAAGAATTTTCCTAAAACCTGTTTGAAAGATTTCATGTTTTAAAAAATTATCACAACTTCTATACTTAAGTTATATCATTTATACAGCTCTACTAATCAAAGATTATTTAATTTTTGATTTATAACAACTTTTGTCACTAGAGTATAAGTTATCTCTTTCAAAAGATGAATCTTATTTTTCTATAATAAGAAACTTTCATGAATGATTTATATTCATTTCACAATTAGAGTCACAAAAGTTCATATATCAAATTCCAATGTAAGAATTGAAAAGCTATAAACCTTATACTACTTAAGAATGAATTTAAGTATATAGTTGTTCCATAAAACTTTTGAATCACTGACGTGAATACTACCAAATTTGCAATAATTCTTCAAAGATGCTGAGAAAAACATGAAGGTTTGCAATACAAAATGTTACCCCATATTGAATTTTATAAAGTTTTATTTTCCTAGAACAGTTTACCATAATCTGCACTGCATCTTGGAGGCACTCAAAGTGGTAAATAAATACCAGGTCATGACAAGATTAAAAGCTAGTCTTACAATAAAATTTATTTTTTATTGTACATACGGGTAGGTTGTTTAACATGTAATGGGGAATGTATGTAGGTGTGTGTGTGTGTGTGTGTGTGCGCACCCAACAATGCAAACCCAACAAATCTGAAATTTCGAATAATCCAAACAAAATTCAGGATGAAGGAAAAATAAACAAATTGCTTATTTGTAGTATAAAGAAAGGATTTTATAATAACTGTAGAACTGAACAACTAATTATTGAAAGTGAAAAACAAGTTGTCGAAATGAAGTGTTTATGTAACTGGTAATTATGGTATATATCACATGTTTATGTAGCAGTAATTATCACTTGGAGGAACTTACAAAATTGGAAATCATCTTTTGCCATAAGGAACTGAATCTGTTTGATGACACGATCGCAATGCTATGTTGCAATTTTCTCACATCGCACGCTATGTTGCATTGTGTGGCAATCCTATAGATGTATTAGTATTTGTACGGTACATTTTGTCAGATAATCTGAACATTTCCAAATACAAACAGGCCACATTCCCCATTAGTTTGTGTTACCAGGGATCTTTGTGTGTGTGTGTGTGTGTGTGTGTGTGTGTGTGTGTGTGTGTGTGTGTGTGTGCGCGCGCGCGTGTGCATGTGCGTGCGCGTGCGCGTGCGTGTGCACATGTGTTTGTGGTGTGGTGTGTGTGTGTCTAGGTGAGTAGTGTCTGGTTGTGTGTGTGTGGTGTGTGTATGTGTATTTACAGATATGTATCTACCTGTGTGAAGTTGCTGATCCCCCCACTGGGTACCTCTCCAGGGGGCGGATAGGGGGATGACCGGCCAGGCTTATCTGGTAGGGGCGGGGGAAATTAAACAGGTGAACTATATATGTGGGATCTTAAGTGGGAAGAAATTATTAACAACATTGGAAGCTCAAGATCATAAGAGGCATGGTAAGTGTTGAAGCAGATGTAAACCAACGAAAACAAAAAATATGGGCATTTGCCACTTTTAAGCCTACACTGATGGGTTAAGAATTATGAAGAATTTCAGCAGAACACTATGAAGAATACCACGCTTTATTTCAGCTGAAGGATACACCTAACAATCACGTAAAGGGTATATCACCAATAGAAGTTAAGAAAGTGGTGAAAAGTTTCAAAAGTAGTAAGGCTCCCACTCCAAGCGGGATAAATATAGAACTTAACACTCCAATTGCCGTGGTATAACCGTCCTATGTTCGCTTGGTAAAGTATTCAATAAAATTATTAAAAACAGATTGGAAAATGAAATTGAAGATCAGAGTGGTTTTTGAGAAGGTAGATACTGCGTGGTTAATATATTTACCATTCATCAAATTATGGATAAGCAACTGCCGCATAACCTTGAGACACATCTAGTCTATATATTGACTTGCGAAAGGCACACAACAGTGTCCCTCTCTCAAAATTGTGGATGGCTATGGAAAATCAACATTTAGTAGCATACATATTATGGCCACTAAAGAGTTATACACAGATAAAATTGCTTATGCCAAGTTTGGAAATAACATATCCAAAGAAATAAAGATAAGTAAAAAGCTAAGAGGCAAGGGTGTTGTATTGCACCAACCCTGATCAAAATATATTGAGGAGAAGCTCTAAAAAATTGGAAGAAAACATGTAGAAAGACAGGAATAAAATTAAATGACAATATTTTACATTCAATAAATTTTGCAGATGACCATGTGATATTTGCAGAAGATGAATACGATGCACATTATATGTTAAATAAATTAAATGAGAAATATAAATAATGGGGTTTGAAAATCAATTTCAAAATGACAGAGTACATTGTGGTAGGAGGGACAGGATAAAATTTAGTAATGGAAGATGGCTTGGTTGTTTGTCCCGCAACCCCAAAACTTTGTCATGCATAATTGGAAACATAATAATTAAAAATAAATATTAATTGAGAAGATGAAATAGACATGAGAAGTTCTTGAAGCAAATAATCTTCAGCAGGAATGTATTTTGAAAAGGTCATTTCCTCTAACATGTCACAATATTCCTTGAAATTATCAACAAATTACAGGAACCACTTGAAGCAAGAGAATGGATAATTGCTCCCTCTAATGAGAATTCGCATAAGAACTAATATTAAAATAACTAACAACTCAAGTGTCTTCTTGGCTATTGGGTGATGCCACATCATCAGCTGAGAGGCCGATGTATGACACAGACTTCTTCACAGCAACGACCAAAACGTTGGTCTCTCAGCCAATGATGCAGCGTCACCTGGATAGCCAGGAAGACTGAATGATATTGATTTAACTTCAAATGAAAAATATCTTCAACTTAGTGATATGACAAGAATAAGAATGTGACTTGGTTATAATGACAGACAGGATGAACGAACAGACAAGAAACAGACATGAAAAATACAAACGCACAAGTAAACGTTGGTAGATCTACCACAAAAACAGAGCATGGCATTATTTCCTATAAGGAAACCTAACCCTAAGAAATTGGTAAATGTTCTGTTACCTTAAAAACAAAGCTTTTTGCACAACCCTGTCTTACACACAAATAAAAATGTACACATTCATTAACTTACTCAGAGAAAACATGAAGAAAAAGAAGAAAGAAAGGAAATTCATTTACAGCAATCTTCAGGTCCTGTGAAGTACTGAAAAATGATAAATGTGAATAATGATGCCTTTGACCAAACAATAGTTACTCAGACAAGTCCTTATAAACACAACCTTATATAAGACAATAATAATTATGTTAATCGAATAAATACAAAGCTATCATCACACTGAATATGTTTGGAGAGAGGTTTTAGTGAAAAAACCAAATGGAACAATCAATTAACTCTTACATCAGTTTCAATTTCCGCAAATTTCTCCTTCTATTAATAGAATACAAGTAGAAGTCGATCAATATTTATAATTTTCCAAACAACAATTTTGCTGAAATTGTAGCAAAAAAGAACCAATGTAGTGGAATTAATACACAATTTGGCAATGGCTAATATTTAAATGGGAAATTCTAATGAAAGAGGATAATATGAAATTGGTGCAAAATTCCCTTTTTGG